AATGTTTCACTTGTTTAAACTGCACCACTTATGTTACACATAGTGACATTTTAATTAAGAGAGTAAGTTTTTAAACAAACTTAGATTCTGTAAGCCAAAAAGAAAATTTAGCTATACAGCAGTAAAAACCTTTAGATGTACTGCATATATCCAGCCAGGATGTGTATGTGAAAAAACACTCTTTGAACCAGAGCTTCAGTTGGGACAAACCAATTTAACTCAACTCAATGTTGCTACACCAAATTATGCCAGCTAAAGATCTGGGCCTATGGTTCTATGGCAGATATGCCCTGTTTATTTTAACAAAAATAAATTAACATTAAAGTGGTCCAAAGTAGTCACAACACTAAATGCCAGTTTGGAAATATTTTCAGTTAGCACTATTTCCTGAAGATTCATCTGTGAGGGACTTAAATTACCCTTCCAAATACAGCTTTTTAGAGGAAAAGAACTAATGAATTCCAGGTACCCAGCTGTTCTGACATTTTCCCAATGTTTATAGTGTACCTGTGGATGCTGTATGTTTGTGTGACTGGAAATAATAGACTTCTTTACAGCATAAATACACCAGTGTTGGACTTAATGGGAACTGAAGCATAGAGTGCTGAGTTTTTGATGTACTATACATTATAACCTTATAATCTTCAAAAGCTGGAGAAGTCAGCATTTGGTAAAGCCTTCTAAATTACACAAAGACCTTCATGTCTTTCTGTAAGATAGACTTTCAGATTTTGGAGGGGAAAAAATGTAACAAGTATAGTAACTGATGCATTGTAAAGTCTAATTTTGCCAGAAGACAAAGCAGCATGTTTAAATGTCTCTTTCCAAAGCAATCTAGCTGGGAATTTCAAAAGAGCCTATGGCTAAATTGTTAAACATGAGGCTAAGTGACTAAGGAATCTAAGTTCCATTTTCTAAAGTGACTTAAGCACTTGAGAGCCTAAATCCTATTGACTTTCCAAGACAGTTGAGCACCTGAAAGCTAAAATCATTTTAGATCCCTAGGTCACTTAGGTTCAGAATCAGTAAGTCAGTTAAGCACTAGCAAAATTTGACTGCTTTGCAAAAACTGTGATTCTGGAATCAGCCTACATTGCTCGGTACCTCAGTTTTTGACAGGAAGTTCCTCAGGTACCTAAATTCCAGTGTTGGGCATACCCAGAAGCACCTAATCTTGACAAAGCTGAGCAACTCTGTACTTAACTAACACATAAGCCCAGTCAGGGCTCATAAACCAGGCACACCCAACAGGGGTGTTCTAAAGACACTGCACACCTACTTGATCAGACTTCATACTGATAGAACTAGAGTCAGATCCCTTGATTTCCATCTTGGCCCACATCACCCACTCCCCAGGATAATACCCTAACCACTAGACAAAAAGGTTAGGCTGGGAGTAGGACCATTCTCTAGTCCTTTTCTTGAAGCTGTTCCACTTTATAGAAAATAATTCAAGATTCACTGGAGGAAGGGCTGGTAAAAGAAATATGGTTCTGTAGGCCTGTGATTGAGGCACACACAAGAGACTGAAGTTATGGATTGCAGTACTTTCACTGAAGACTGTCTGGAAATCACACATTACACTGTTACTAGATAAAATACTGAAATAGCTGAGGCTTTAGAAAGAACATGAAATATCCCAAGAAATGGGAGTTAGTAACTCAGTCAGGAAGTTTTCCACAAAAAGTTTTTTTTCCTTAAGAAACTGCTGATTTGTCGAAACTGAAACTTTTCATGGAAACTTACAGGTTTTAATGAGCTTTTTGTGGGGACAGTTCCACTGGTCAAACCAAAGAGGACATCCCAAATAGCCAAAAGTGCAGTGATTAAGTGAGAAACTTATGCTCAGATTCTTGTTCTGCCTTACTTGGAACAGGGTCTTAGACCTGGGTCTCTTCTCTCTCTCTCTCAGCCCCAGTAAACATCTAATTATTCATACAAAATGAAACAGCCCCATCAGGAATGATTACAAGACTCAGACCCTGTAGCCAATAGAGCAGGGATGTAAAAATTACTTCCTACCATTTCTGATGAAGGCTCTAACCACTGGGATATATTAGGGTGGTTGTCTTGCTCTATGAAAAAAAGCCCCTAAAATAGTCTATTTTTGTTTGATCCAAAAGAGAAACAACTGTTGAAACTTGCAAACTTTTTATGAAACAAAATTCTTATTTTCTGGCCATCCCTAGTTATTACTGCTGAGTTACCAGTAAAGCCAGTAAAACCAAACACCTGCAAGTGTTGCCAACTGCCAGTCCTGGAGGTATCTGATTGCATGAGAATCTCAGCTTCCACATGGGGAAAAAAATCCTTTTTTCTCCAGAGCTCCCCCATACCACCTTAGCTCCAAGGGGCCTGGTGCTTTTCATCTCCAGAGCCTGACTGTCTGCGTCACCCCCACGCAGGGTGCCCACCAGCCACATGAGCTCTGAGGAGCCAGATTCTTTTTCTTCCAGAGCCCAACCTCCCCGCACCCCCATAGTATCTCTAGGCCTTCTCCCCCCATGCCACCCCTGCCCATCTGCCAGTCGGCCAGATGCCACCTGAGTTCCAAGAGGTGTGATCCTTTTTTCTCCAGAGCCCACCTCCTGCACCTCCCTACTTGGGCTGCCAGCCAGCCAGGTGCTGCTTGAGTGCTGAGGAGCCCAATTCTTAGACTCCTCATTCAATTTGCAGATTACTATAACCCTACAGATCCCTTGCTGCTGCCATTCCTATTACAGATTTGTGCGTTCAATTGTTCTTTCTTAAACAAATGATCTGCGAGAAACCAAAAACAAACAGCAAAAAAAAATACTTAGGATTTCTGAAGCATCTATATGTTTGAAATAGAAAAGATCCTCTGGACTTCTATATTTATCCCAAAACAAACACAGAGTAAGCAGCGTGGTGCAATGTTTAGAGAACAGGACCACAATTAAGGAGACCCAGAGTGAAAGCCACCCAAGAAACATTTCACATAGGCTCCTAGTCCTCCCCTGCTCACCAAGTCTCTAGTGCAAGTCACAGCTGTGCAGGTGAAGAACAGTCAGAGATGGTTTTTTACCTTAAGATCTAACTGCTCCATTATGCCGAGCAACATTAAGCTGATTAAAATATGTGTGGCTTAAACCATAAGGTGTAACAAGGCCCTAGCACTACTCTCACCTCTGCATCCATCTGGTACTTTCTATTCAATGAACTCAACAAAGCATTAATGAATTAAGCCTTCCCTCACTAGGTAATGGCTTAAAAGGAAGTGCCAAGACAACTGAGACTGTATACATCAGGGGTGGGCAAAATATGACTACTAGAACTACTTCACTGTAAGGGTGGCCAGAGCCTGGAATAGGCTTCCCAGAGAGGTGGTGCTCTCACCTTCCCTGGAAATCTTCAAGAGGAGACTGGATAGGCACCTGGCTGGGGTCTTATGACCCCTGCCACCCCCAGTGCTCCTTCCTGCCCATGGCAGGGGGTTGGCCTAGATGATCTGTCTAGGTCCCTTCCAACTCATTGATTCTATGATTCTATGGCCTGCAGGCAAGATTTGGCCTGAGAGGCCATTCTATCTGGCCTGCAGGGCCCCTAAAAAATTTAAAAAATTAATAATAAAAAATGACAGGAGCCAAGGTCAGTAGGACTCAGAGGAAGCCCAGCAGGCTTCCGCAACAGCAGGACCAACCCGGCCCCGCCCCACCAGCCGGAAGCCCCTGCAGGGGCTTCTGGCCTGGGACCATGTGACTTCACCACGCCAGAACCTCAGGTAAGGGCGGGGGAAAGGGCAGGGGAGGACCCCGGGCAAAGAAGGACCCCGGGGAAAAGCGGCCCCTCGTCCACCCTGTGGCCCATGCTCCATGCTGCAGCCGCTTGCAGCCTGTGCGGAGCTGTCCTGGGCAGGCACAGGCAGCCCCAGGCGGGCTGCAAGTGGCTGCAGCGTGGGGTGCCAGCCACAAGGCGGGCAAAGGGCCGCTTTTCCCATGCTCAGCACCAGGTTGTAACCTGCCCCTGCTGCCAGCCTGGGCCCCACACCAGCTCTGGGCTTACCTGTCAGGGCTGCATGCAGCAGCAGCAACTGCGGCCTCCCTGCTTGCCACGCTGGATGGTGTTTGCTGCTGCTGCCCACCCAGACCTCACACACTAAGCAGCCCAGAGATGGCAGTGGCAAATACTGCCCAGTGCAGCAAGTGGGGAAGCTGCAGCTGCTCCTGCCGCGGCGCAGCCCTGACGGGTGAGCCCAGAACCGGCACAGAGTCCTGGTTAGCTGTGGGGGCAGGTTACAGACTGGTGCTGAGCACAGGAAAAATGGCCCCTTGCCCACCCCATGGCTGTCGCCCCATGCTACAGCCATTTGCAGCCTGCATGGGCCTGCCTGTGTCTGCTCAGGTCATCCCCACACAGGCTGCGAGTGGCTGCAGCAGGGAGCACTGGCCATTGGGCAGGGGAGAGGCCGCTTTTCCCCACACTCAGCACCAGCTCGTCCCCTGCCAATGAGCAGGGGTCGGGGCTGTGCCCTGCCCCCAGCCTGCACCGCGGAGCTGGGGGGCACTGGGAGTGAGCAGGTGCACGGGGGGCCCACATCAGTGTCCTGGGGCCAGCGGGGCCCACAGCAGGGCAGCAGGAGTACAGGGTCCCAGCTGGCAGGGGCTCAGTGGAACCGAACCAGTTCCCCCCTCTCCCTGCTGGTGCAGCCCAGCTCCACAGACCCCTGCCAGCCTGTGCCCTGCTCTGGGCCCCACCAGTGCTGGCCCTGAGACATTGGTCCCAAGACATTGGGACACTGGCCCCAAGATGGTGACCAGGGTGCGGGGCACCTGTCAAGTGGCGTGGCAACCCATGCGGCCCTCGACAGCTTGCCAAAACTGGGTAAGCAGCCCTCTGCCCAAAACAATTGCCTGCCCCTGTTATACATACAGGTAAAAAAACAAAGCATACACTTCCCATGAGGGGCCTTTACATTTTATACTAGGATAGTAACATAATAAACTCTTCTATATTACATTTTAAAAAAGTATTCTGCTTACCTGGACCTTTCCTTCATTACTGCCCTCTGGATAATGTGGATTAAGCTAGGAAAAAATATATAATTTTGTTTAATCAGATTTGACACTCACAGAATATCCTTATTTAGCTCAGTCATGTATTATATATCAGTCTCTGGAAGAACCTGTTTGAGCCAGTGTCTAACAGTCAGAATTTTCAGGGTCCTGACAGTGCAGGTAACTCGTTGGCTATAAATTCAATGAAAAAGAAAGATGCATTTCTCCATCAAGATCTTCAACTCTAAAAAGTTATCTCAATCAAAAATCCTAGCAAAGACAAGGCACAGGACTGTAACCTGTTGGAAATCATCCCACTGTTCTCCTCACTTCTGGGATAGACCTCAACTCCCTACATCACAAGTGATATCATGGCCCTCTGGGGTGCCTTCAGAACCTTTCTGGGTTACATGGGGTGATAAGCAACATTAGTGTTGTTACATGGGTAAATATGATTCATAAGATAAACCCAACATTTTCAAATAAGAATCTATAGTATTAAAAAAAGTCTAACCTGTTGTGGTCTTTCTGAGTTCTTTGCCATAGAAACATTGCCATATTATTTTTCCATAGTCAAAAACAGAGTAAAAAGTAAGAGCTGACCATTTGTGAAGGGTACCTCGAGTCTGAGTAGGGGTAACTTTAGACTAACAAGGGGTACGTACCCTGAGCCTAAAAAGGTTGAGAACCACTGACCTACACGAAGGAAGAATCTATAGTGCCTTCTTTCTGCTAGGATTTTACAGGAAGATAGTTACCTCCATGTTAACACATACCTTTTCAGCAGTGAAAACACTGCTGCTATGGATACATGTTTGACTGCTCTGTAGCTCTGCTTTAGCCACTACTGCTAGACAGCATGCTTTTTTCTTATGCCACTGCAGGACTATGAAGCTTAATTCATCATCTACTTACTCTAAAGTGGTACAAGAAACTTGAAAAGAAGATGTTATACAATAATAAAAAGAAAGGATCATAATTTAATAGTGCTTAATAGTATTTTTTTAGCAGAGGAAATATGTAGACAAGAATACAATGGCTTATGTAAATAGATATATACCCAGATAAATAAACAAGCATGACCACAGAGGTTGCACAAGAAATCTTTTGAGATTTGATTTAGATAATGAAACAATTTTGCCTCAATATTTGCAGCACTCCTTGGTATAGAAAATACCTATGAAGTACTGTGAGGGTAGGGATGGTATTGTTAACTATATAAAACCAGGAGTGTGCATGTGTGTGCGCATGTTATAGATATGTATTGTGGTTTTACTGGTCTTGAGTGCTGAATTATCAACATGGCAAAGCCCCCCATCAGTTGTACAACTTAAGTAAATGTCCTACCACATCATCATGCATTTTGTACATGCCATATGTATTTCACAGAAACCATCACCAACATGCTTCTACTGAATTACGAAACACTGTATTGGCACTATATTTTTCAAACTACTCCACCTGTAAAGCCAAGCTTCCCTATTGCCATTACCCCAGCTGCCTGAGCCTGAGAGGAAGACGAAAATTCTAACTGCCTCTTCTGTTTTGTATTAGGAACACACAGAAATTACCCCAAATAGCTTTTTCCTACAGCATAATTATGCTGGTCTAATGTCTTGAAAGTTTACTGGCCAAATGACTGCTCTCATGTTCTGGCTGACTTCAGTCTTTCTTTCAACCAGTGTGAAATGCTCGCATATCTGCCTCAGGTAATTCTCCTGCCTTATCTAATGCTCATCCCAGATCCTGATTCAGGCTTTTG